TCATCATTGCAAAATGTACCTATTTTACAATGAACTATGATGATTTATTTCTAGGCAACAAGTATTTATTAAGAGCCTACGATATCCAAATTTGTGCTAGATATTATGTATTTAACAAAGTGATTAATAAATATGTTCAAAACAGTCAAGATGAAAAGCAAACAAAATGCACAGTTTGAATATCATTCTACATGCAATGGTCTGTGATAGACGCAAGATAGAGAAGTTTCTGTGTACATATTAAGTAAAATTTCAGGGCACAACTTGGCATTAGTCTGACAGTGTAGCATTTCAATGGATAGTGAAAAGATGGCAGACTTCTCTGTGTGGAAGAACAGGATGAGCAGAGATTGTGCAGGAAAGAGGAAAGAAAGGGAGTGGTCTCCCTGAGAAGTATATCATGGAATGAGAAATCATGAGCCACTATAAACCAGGCAAGAGGGATGCAGGAGAGAGGGTACTAGCATTACACAGTGGTTAACAGCCTCAGTTCCGCAGCCATGTAACTTAAGTTAAAGTCTTGGAGGCTATGGGGCGCCTGGGTGGCGCAGTCGGTTAAGCGTCCGGCTTCAGCCAGGTCGCGATCACTCGGTCAGTGAGTTTGAGCCCCGCGTCAGGATCTGGGCTGATGGCTTGGAGCCTGGAGCCTGTTTCCGATTCTGTGTCTCCCTCTCTTTCTGCCCCTCCCCCGTTCATGGTCTGTCTCTTTCTGTCCCAAAAATAAATAAAAACGTTGAGGGAAAAAAAAAAATTTAAAGTCTTGGAGGCTAAAAAAAAAAAAAAAGACCCTGAACTTCAGGCTTCTGAAAGATCATAAAGGATAATATTTCACTTAATTAATTTTCAAAGAGGGTGGCAGTTATATTTTCTGTTTCTGTCCTGCTGTCTAACACATAAGTTTTTACTACATTTACCTAGACAAAAGCACTTGGTGATTAATTTAAAGGCAGATGGCAGACATATTTTTCCCTATAAATATGGCTTTTTTCCAGGTATGATATTTTCTTTTCTGAAATTCAATTTTTGAAGATTTCACAAGAAGCATTTCTAAAATATAAATGATGAGAAATAAAACACCTATGTTTCATCATATTGATCTCTGAACTCTATTCTAAAAGTAAATGAGTTCTAGTTGCTTATGGCTTGTGTGTCCAAGTATGATCTAGCCACAAGGTCAAGAGACCATGTAGTACTCGCGTGAGGAGTCAGTAGCTGCTTATGCAATGTTCCTTCAGGGATAACAGGAAGGATGCCTGTCACCTAAATCAACTCCTTTATCTAGACTGACTCCTGATACCCTGACAGAGGAAGAAGACTTTTATTTTAAAAGAAAGAAAGAAGGAAAGAAAGAAAGAAAGAAATAAAGAAAGAGAAAGAAAGAAAGAAAAAGAAAGAAAGAAAGAAAGAAAGAGAAAGAAAGAAAGAATTTAAATGAAGATGCTTTGTGCAACATACGGAGTTGGTTTAAGTTTACTTCAAGGTATAAATGAATCAGGTTGATTCAGCCATGCCAGTTAATACTCTCTTTGCCCAGGGAAAGTCTGCATAGTATATGTCAGTGTGGAATAACAATAAATCACAGGATCACTCAAATTCTCAAGATTATAGTCTCTGGCCTTTAATAAGCATCATTTCTTAGATATCAAGGACTTCATGCTGTGTAGGAAGAGAAAATGTCATATAAGAAAGAATCTAAAATGGATTGACTTTTAGATTCGATGTCTACTGCTGCAAAAGTTAATTATAGGTGGTATCTAAAACCACACAGGTTTCAAACATATCCCATATGGAACCATTAGTAGACTCCTTTAGGCAAAAGAAATCAGGGGACAGTTCAATAGAAGTAGCAGAAGGAGGATATGATAAGTTATGATAACAATAATACCTGTATATTAATCAATTTGGCAACTATTTATCATATTTAACACATTTAACACACATATAGTGTATATTTTATGGGCAACACTTGTAGTTTAAGTAACAAATATCATATGCCTTTAAAACTTATTCATTACCTTTGGACACTTTTAGCAATCTAAGGAACTTATTAGAGATCTTTTAAAAAGATAGTATGGATGTTTTTTACTCTTAAGATTTTAATTTTACTCTTAAGAGCAAAAGCTCACTCTACAAGAGAATGATTAAATAAATCATGCCATTCTCACATTATAAAATATTGTGAGGCCAACAATCATGTTTTGAAAACTTTTAAATATTATTTTTAAAGGTTATGATTTAATGTTAAATTTTTGAAAAATGAGTATTTTACATATGTGACCATTAAGGTTTGTAAAAAACAAAACAAATCAAATGATAGTATTGCAGTTCTTTAAATTTTCCACTGCCAGACAACAATGGCTTCTATATTTATTGATGGATCAACATTAATACTATTCATTTAGGTCACACAGAGCAAATCTATTTGAACTTCTCTGCCATTCAAATATTTGAAATGAGTAGAGAGAGCTACCAGATGATCTGCCTATTCATCCTCAACCCTATCAAAATGTCAATCTTCTCCAAGTTAAACATTCCTGGTCTCACTAGTCATTTCCTATGTGACATATTCTATTATTTATTCAATGTGTATTTACATTTGTTTGCTATCTGCAGGCCTGTTGTTTGTGCTTTACAATGGTGAGTTGAAACAGCCCCTAAAGTATTTGGTGGTCTGGGTTATCAAGAGGTTTGGGTTTTAAGGACAGGACAGAAAAAATAAATAACACCTGGAATCATTTCAGGTAGAAAATTAAATTGGAGTCCTGCCCTCCCTCTCTCACACAAAACTGTGGTCTTTGGATGGCAATGCTTTCTGTAAAATGATAAATGAGGCCAAATTTGTACAGTCAGGAACTGTATCTATCTTAACTGTGCTATGAGTCAGGAAAAATTCTCCCTTGAGAATTTGTAAACACAGGCATGATTTGAGTAGTCTTAGGAATTTAAGTTAAACCACTTATGTGGCATAGGAAGTGCCAAGCTGAGAAATAAATTACAGCTGTCCCCACTGGCAGAGCTCCGGGTACCTGGCAGAGTATTCTCCCTAAAGGGCTTAACTTTAAGCTCTCTGAAGCCTAAAAAACAAGCATATCAAACCAGGCCAAACATGGGAACTTACATCTCAGAATTATAAAACTCACAAAATTAGAATGTTTAAATGCTTGAAGATATAGAAAGAAATAAAAACTAAGCAATTAACAAGATATTTTGCTTCCAAATATTGGCAGATTTGAAAAGTAAACCAACAGAAGTTGTAGAAAACATGTAATCATTGAATTTAAGCATTCAATGTGGTTTGAATAACAGATTAGATGTAACTTATAAGAAAAATTGGGGAACTGGAAGACAGATTCAAATTAATTTTCTAAAAGATTGTACACTAAAATTTCACACAAAAGAATGAATATGAGAAAGATTAAGGCACATGAAGAATCAAATGAAAAAAATATATGTATGTAAGAATATATACACATGTACATGTATATGTGTGTTACGTATATTATATACATACATATATACATATACACATTTATATATATAGATTTATATGGTGTTCTAGAAGAAAGAAGCAAATAGAAAAAGGAACAGGAAATATTTGAAGAGATAATAGTTAACAAAATTTTATAATTAATAAAAGACAAACCTCATAATCAGAATAAATAAAGGAATATTCTTCCACAGTATATCATAGTAAAAATAAAGAAAAGCAAAAACAAAGAGATGATATTGGAAACAGTGAGAAGAAAAAGGTTACCTACAAAGAAATAACAATTAGATTCACCACAGACTTCTCAATTTCAACAATGGAAACCAGAAAATTTTCAAAGTACTGCCACAGATTAATTTCAACCTGTAATTATATACATAGATAAACTACTATTCAGGAATGTGAACAAAATAAAAGCATTTTAGAACAACAGCCAATAAACCCTCAATAAAGGAAATTCCAAAGTATATTTCAAAAAAAGGAAAACAGTCTCACAAAAATGGTTCCAGATAAGGGAAGGAGTCATGATGAAGAAACTGATAAAAATAAAGGAGAGGATAAATCTTTCTTAAAAAAAATTGCATAAAACGATAACGTCTAACTTGGAGCAAGAAAAGATGATATAGCAAAATAAGTGGACAATTATATAGTAAAAGTTAATCAGAGCTAGCTATATGTAACATTTATTATAATAAAAAAAAGAGAAATAGAATTTAGAATTTCCAAGTCAGTGGGGAGGGAAAAACAATAGCAGTTTTTTAAAAACTACAGTAATCCAAAAGAAATTCAGAATGGTGAAAAAAAGAGAAACATAAAAATCAAGACATACAGAAAGCAGAATATGGGAAAAATTTCATATGAAAACCAGTGAAGGACAGAATAAGAATGGAAATCTGGCCTTTCATGAATCATAGATGCAAAAATCACTGTGGAAGTATCAGGAAACTGAATAAGCAATGTATTTAAAAATTTATATGTCGTGATCTAATTGAATTAATCCCAGACAAGAATGCAAGAACATTTTAGCATTGGGAAATTTACTAATAGAGTTTTGCATGTTAATATATTGAAGGAAGGGGCGCCTGGGTGGCGCAGTCGGTTAAGCGTCCGACTTCAGCCAGGTCACGATCTCGCGGTCCGTGATTTCGAGCCCGCGTCAGGCTCTGGGCTGATGGCTCAGAGCCTGGAGCCTGTTTCCGATTCTGTGTCTCCCTCTCTCTCTGCCCCTCCCCTGTTCATGCTCTGTCTCTCTCTGTCCCAAAAATAAATAAACATTGAAAAAAAAATTTAAAAAAATATATATATTGAAGGAAAAAAGTTATCTGATCATCTCTTTAAATGGAGAAAAAAGCATTAGGGAAATCCAACGTTTACTATCACAATTCATAGCAACTTAGGAATAGAAGAAAACTTCTTTCCTGATAAAAGGAATCTACCATAAGCTTACAGAAATTTACCACACCTGATAGTGAAATGTCAGGTTAATTCACATTAAAATCAGGATTGAAACAACTATGCTCACTATCATTACTATATTGAATAACATAAAGAAAACCATAGTAGTGCAGTTAGACAAATGAAAGAAATAAAGGGAAAATTAAACAAATTGTGGGGCACCTGGGTGGCTCAGTCGGTTGGGTGTCCAACTCTTGATTTCTGGCTCAGGTCATGATCTCATGGTTCATAGGACTGAGCCCTCCGTTGGACTTGGCACTGACAGCATGGAGCCTGCTTGGGATTCTCTCTCTTCTTCTCACTCTGCTCCTCCCCCATTTGTGCATGCACTCTCTCTCTCAAAATAAACATTAAAAAAATGAACCAAATCATCATATTTGAAAATGTTTGTATAAAAAAAAGAATCCACTGAAAATTATTTGATTTAATCAGATAAAAGCACAGGAACTGGATATGAGAGTATATATAGTCTTTAATATATAATTATTATATATTATTATAAATATATATTTAATATACATTAATATCAAATGTAATATTAATTAAGAACACTTTATTGGAAGATATTAAGGAAATAAATCAAGTACACGAGGAAGAGACTCTGATATACTAAAGCTGTTTATTTTTAAGTGAACTCTACCCATAACATGGAGCTTGAACTTACGACCTTGATATTAGGAGTTGGATGCTCTACCAACTAAGCCAGCCAGGTGTTTGAGCATAGATGATTAGTGCATATCCTAACCTATACATTTAATGTGAACTCCTTTCAAAATCATACCCAAGTTTGTTATGCAACTTCACAAACTGGTGTGAAAATGTACATGTAGCAGCTAATGGCAAGAACAGCCAAGATAAATTTGAAAAAAAAAAAAAAAAACCAAAAAAACAACAAAAACAGGATGGAAGGATTTGCCCAATTATAAACAATGCTTATTATAAAGCAATAATAATTGAGACAATATTGTGTGGCCTCAGAAGGAAACAAAAGACCAGAGGAACAGAAGAAGAGTAAGCCTAGAAACAGAACCACACATAAACACAAACTTCATATATGACAAATGTCATTGCTAATCAATAGAGACAATATAGACAATTCAATAAATGGTGCTATACAATTGGTTACAAATATGGAAAAATAAGTTATGTCCACATGTCATATAAACTCCTAAATATGATAAGGAAAAGCATAAGGATTTTAAGAATGATAAGAGACTACTTTATGACTTTGGGACAAAAAAGAATGTTTAAAGAAGTTTGACTTATTTAAGGAATGAAAAAATAAACCACACACAGGGACAAGACATTTTCAGCGTAAGAGGAGACCAGGTCCTGGTTAAAACCCTATGTGTGATTATTCAGGCCTGACCACAGGCAATTACCAAGACTTTTCCTGACACGCCTCATGGAGAAACCTGCCTTCCCCATACCAGATGTGTGCACCTAGCTCATTGTGGCCTCTGAAGAGAGCTGCAGTCAAGCACTCAGGCCCCACTGAGTGGAGCTCCCTGAATATTTGCCTTCATTCCTAGGTCTCAGTATCCGAGGCACTGGGTGGAGGACTTCTTCAGGTGCTTCTGCTGAGTCACCTTGTCAGCGAGAGGAGGGGAAACCAAGAAGACACTTGTTCTAGCTCTTCCCCATAAGCCTCTGTCCATCCCAAGATTCATAAAACTGCTGGAGCCTTTGTTTGATTCTCTCTCCACAGGAGGACAATACCCATGTCTAGGTGAATCTACCTGACCCTTAAGTGATGCACTTTTGTCTGGGAAAAAATAGAAGGTGAGTGAGGAGTCAGTGCTTTCTCCAGTTGTAATCTCTTGCTTATATCACAGCAGTAAGTCACTAAATGCCCATCTTTCTCATTTTGGGGTTCTTGTTTTAATTGGCTACTCTGATATCTGATAGCTCAGCTCACTCTCTCTCTGAGCTCAGCTGAGCTCCTGACAATACATAACTGATAAATGGTTAGTACCCAGAATATAAAATGCTTTCCTACAAAGCAGTAAAAGAAAAAATTAGGAAATGGGGAAAGAATACAAAACAGTTGACAGAAAGAAGAATGGGCTGTAAACATATTAAAGATATTTAAAATTTTCACAACTATGAGATACACAAAAGTTAGAATTTGATAATATAAAGTGTTGGCAAGGATGTGGATAAGTAGGAAGCCAATATGCTGATGGTAGAAGTGTAAGTATGTACTAAGACTTTGGAGGACAAGAATCCTAGGTGGTCCAAGGTACAACCTAAGCACCAACCAACATCACAAATCTTGTAAATAGTGCACTCTCAGTTACATGGCAATTTGAAGAAGTAATTTACGATTAACCAAAAGAAAACCTCACAAATGCTAAGTTTGCGATGCGAGGAAATCTCATCAATCCTTGTTTGTTTGGTTTATTTTCTTTTTTCTCTTCCACTTAAGGCATTGTGGTTATCAGTTTAATTTGCTATAAAATACAATTAATGTTACTATGCTTAATTTGGTTTAAGTCTAAGGAGGGGTAATCAGAGACTTTTTACTTTTCATTGTAATTTTATTAAAGTAACCTAAAATTATTGCTCAGAACTCTTTATCTTTCAACAAAGATCATCCTATAATCACCTAAGCGTTTGGTATTGCCATTAGTTTACTTAATTCATCATAAAGAGATGCTTCTTGGATATGGATTTCAAATTTGATTATCAATGTATTATCATCTAACTTTCAGTGTTCCAGGTTTCAAAGTGTAGGAATGAGCATTAAAAATTTAATAAAAAATACTTGAATTCCTACTGACTAGAAGGAAGTTTGAGCTACAAAGAATCTATATCAGAGTTTTTCCAAATTTTTCTATAAACACCCAGATGGGTTTTTCATAAATGATATATTAAATGAATATAATTTCTTAAGCAGAATTGATTGCATAATTAGCAAGGAGGAAGAAATTAAAGGAAATTGCATTTAGTGGGATGAAGACAGTCATTCTTTGGTGATGAAATTCACAATGAACAGTGTGTGTGTGTTTATCAGTTATGGAGTAATCTGCATGTACTAAAAAATATTGCATCAAAATATATGATATCAAAACTATTTTAATTGAGGGGCACTTAGGTGGCTCAGCTGATTAAGCATCTGATTCTTGATTTTGGCTCAGGTTATAATCTCACGGTTTGTGAGTTCAAGCCCTTTTGGGCTTTGTGCTGACAGTCCGGAGCCTGCTTGGGATTCTCTCTCCCCCTCTCTCCTTGTCTCTCCCCTGCTCATGCTCATTCTATCTCTCTCAAAATAAATGGATAAACTTTAAAAAATTTTTTAAAGATTTAAAAAAACTATTTTAATTGAAAGAAAAAATTACCCAAACACTATACTAAGAAAATATAAACATACTTTTCAGTCTTTGTTGGATGAAGTAGACAGAAATTAGAACTGTGGATATTCTGATAATATAATTAATAAAATTTATTAATTTCCCAAAATTTGCACCCTACCAATAATACTACTCATTTTTTAATAACCATGGAAAATTTAGAAAAATTGATTACTGGGCCACAAAGGAAGTTTCAAATTACAAAAAACATAAATGGTCTAGGCCATATTCTCTGAATACGATGCAATAAAACCAATGTAATAATAAAAATATGAACAAAAAATATCACTTAAAAATTGTAAACTCTGAATATTCATAACATTTTTCATCCAAGAAGAAACAAAACTTGCACTTAAAAATTAACAACAGAGAGCAAACTGAGGGTCGATGGAGGGTGGTGGGTGGGGGATGGGCTAGATGGATGATGGGTATTAAGGAAGGCACTTGTTATGATGAGCACTGGGTGTTGTATGTAAGTGATGAGTCACTGAATTCTACTTCTGAAGCTAATATTGCCATGTATGTTAACTAACTAGAATTTAAATGAAAATTTAAGAATAAAATTAAAATTAAAAGTTGTGATTCTTTATGAACATACATTCTTAAACCCTTAAATAAAAATTACGCAAAATGAATTCAGTCACATGCCAAAAGTAATACACTTATTATTTTAAGTGGCTCTAATTAAGAAATACTAGATTAATATCAGAATGTATATTCATATAATTAATTCAATCAATAAATCAAAGCCAAAAATATATAATTATCTTACTACAAATCTAACAAAATTCAGTAAAGTTCAATACCCATTCTGTTGAAACTCTTCACAATAAAATAAAAAGTTATTTTCTGTATATATTTATTAGTATCTATATAGCATTCCCATATCTGGTATTAGCAAAGTATTTTATTGTAGACTAGCCCTCTTACCAAGAACAGCTAGAAAAGCTGGTTAAAAATACACAGTGCATGAGAGATATGCGGTACAATGATACTGCTGGGTTATTTGGCTCTGGGTTGTGAGGTGAGCTCACCTGAGTTCCCTTCTGAATCCCACCCGGACACTCTGCATGATGGCCACAAGTCTCTCCACTCAGATAAGAGGAAATGTAAGGCATGTACTTCACTGAAGTAAAGCAGCGCACACTCCCCTCCCCCCACCGTGCTCAAGAGAGGGGCAAGAAAAATGTTCACCCCATAATCTGAAGACATTTCAAGATGCCAGAATAAACCCAAGCCTGCCACACAGATCTGAGACAGATCGAGTCACAAGTCTCGCACAATGGAAACTGATATTCACCACTGTCAGCAGTACATTTAAAAAAATTACCTAAATATTCCAGATAGAACATCTGGAAAGTTTCCCCTGATCTGTAAAATGCATGCTATATCTAAATTTCTTTCTTTTTTTTACTTTTAGGCATTGCTGCATAAAACTGCCAGTGTTATTAATGCATCTCCCTCTGTTATTCCTTGCTTTACTAAATATGGGAAGGTCAGAGAAGCAGGTCTTTAAAAGAAGCAAATGTTACTGTTGAAGGATGAACAGTTCTGCCTTTCCCTTTCCTAATGCGGCGGGTGCCACAGGCTTTCCACAGAGGAATATGTGCAAAAGAAAGAAAGAAACAAAGAAGAGCTAGGCCCATTGAATGTTCAAAAAAACCAATGTACAGAACAAACAAAACAATACAAAAACTTTCTCCAAATTTTAGGAAATATTTTACCCTAATCAAGAGCTCTTGGGGAGCCTGGGTGGCTCAGTCGGTTAACTGTTAATTTCAGTTCAGGTCATGATCTCATGAACCGTGAGATCGAGCCCCCATCAGGCGCCACACACTGACAGTGCAGAGCCTGCTTGAGATTTTCTCTTTCCCTTTTTCTCTGCCCCTCCCCCTGCTTGCACACACATGCTCTCTCTTGCTCTTTCTCTCAAAATAAATAAACTTAAAAAAAAAATCTCAAAGTATGTGGCGATGGTAG